ACACACACACACACACACACACACACACACACAGAGAGAGAGAGAGAGAGAGAGAGAGAGAGAGAGAGAGAGAGAGAGAGAGAGAGTTGCGTAACCCCTCCTCTTCCCTCTCAGAGTGTTGAATGTACCTACATACCTCAACAACTGTTACGATCAACCTCATCATCTTAGGAGCTCATCACATCTCTGGGGGGTTATCTTTGTCATTTTCCAAATTTCCACAGCCTGGGCTGCAGCACTTCTTCCCCAGAGAAATGCAGGGCCGAACTAACTCCCAGATGGATAAGAAATTGTGAACCCTACAGTCTTCACCCGAATAGAACGCCTTGTAATTATCGCGGTATGTGGGCTGAAAGTTGTGCCAAATACAGCTATAATGACTGGACGTTATATTCGGGTGACGACAGCAGCCTTTGACAGGGAATGACAAGAGGAAGTTAGTTTGGATTTTATCGTATCTTACAGGATCTGATAAACCAGTTTTGAAATATACAGGATTTTCTAGGATTGTAATGAATTACTTTCCAAGGAAGCCAATCCTTGGTGAATGGCAAGAGGAAGCTACCTGGCAACGTCTACGCTTTCTCAGTGGATGTCAGACAGATTTACTGAGTCATTCAGCTCCAGCTCACCCTGGTGTGAAAGCTGCAGCAATGCATGCACATCTATGATCTTTCTGAACAATGGATGGCAGCTGTGATCAGTTCCTTGTGCTCCAACTACTTCTTGTCCTTCCCTTGTGGCGACTTTAACTTGCGTCTTTCGTATGCTAAGGCCATTGTCTCGAAAACGTGCGCCTTTCAGAATGCCCACAACGTGAGTGCACGGGAGAATGGCAAGTGGGCTTAGTGGAAGCCAATATATAACTTTCCCTCTCTCTCAAGGGTTGGCAGATACTGAAAGTTGCGAAGTAACATCATGGCCTTCGCTGAGGGTGTACTCTCCGACTACGGTTGGCCTTCAACACTGAGGATGTACTCTCCGACTACGGTAGAGGACGTACTCTCCGACTACGGTAGGACTTCCTTAGCTGATCTCCGGATATCGAAAGTTGGGGAATAACATGGACTTCACTGAGGGCGTACCCTCCGACTAGGACTTTCTTAGCTGATCTCCGGACAGAACTGCACAGAGATACATCCAGGACCTGCCGTGATTGCCGTCGAGGAAACCTAAGGTGTGTGGGCTCTATCTGCTCACTCCTGAATTGGAATGCCTTTGAGAACAAAGGATTGCTGCGGCAGCATCCCGGTTTCCCGCTAAGGTTTTTTTTTTTTTTTTTTTTTTTTTTTTTTTTTTTCCTGAGGCAGTAAAATTGTCACAATTTTAATAAAATGGGTGTTTGCTGAAACAGATCTAATCACAGGTAAAAAAGAAATGACTAAAGAAATGACTTCTTGGCAGTTCTTGGCAGTCTTGCAAGGGCAGAGCAGTCAGTGATAGTACTAAGAAAACCTTAATCCTTTCTCGAGAGGGAAAACAATTAATGCTGCTGTCTCAGGTTCCTTCAGCCATAATGGGAGGAAGCGTCGAGTGGGCCTTTCAAGTACGGGACACTGTAGTACAATACCCGGTTTCCAGCACAAGTAATAAAGTTTGTTCTCAGGGAAAGAAAAAAGAAAAGGATCGCGGCAGCACGATTGGTTACTTGTGTTCAAAACTTTGCCTCGACTCCTTGTCCAGCAACTTCACCTTCCATATCATGCGTACTCACGACTACTCTCTTGAAAATTTGGATCTTCCACACTGCCCACAACTCCACCCATGATGGAGTACTGCACTTGCCCACTTGGTTTCTTGCAAAGCTGTGAATCGTCCTGTCATCCTGAAACACCATGCCAAGGGGGCTTGTGCAATGTTCGATCGATCAGCAGGAAACCAAACGAAGGGACGGCCGCTAATGCGCCCTAGCTAGCGACCGAGCCGGTTGGTATCCTCAGAATGGTGTAAAGGGATCTGGTTTCCGCTGCTCTGTGCAATCAGGTGCTCCCATGCGCAGTCAGAAAAGCGGTCATATACATCCGGGAAAATCCTCGTGTGAGTATGGCCTGAATCTCTTCTGCCCGTTTTGACGATTTTATCCAGAATCCTGAACATGGATCTTCAAGATCCACGGCTTCTGATGCGACCTGCTTCCTGTCCTAAGATCGAGAATCCTTCTGGTCCCTGATCAGACTCACCGATTGTGGTGATGCTCATCTGACAGTGTGTACAATGAGGCCTCGGGCATTCAGATCCGGTCTCGGGCATTCAAATCCGGTCTGACTGCCTCCCTGTAATCCGAATGGAACTCCCATAACCACCTCCTCACATCAGTCCTGCACCACAGGAAGTGATGAGGTCAGTGAACTCTCCTCCATCTGTCCCTCCCCGCTTGGACTAGTTGTCATGATGTGGGGCCGCTTCCCGGGCCAATACCTCAGCGGCAGCATAGCCTGATGTTGTTGTCTCGCTGTCCTTCGGACGTGAGGAGTCTTCTTCTTCGTCTCTTTGCTCGGTTTGATTTGGGCCGTGCTGACGATAGCAGTCATGTCCTGCAAGCTCAAGCTGCCTCTCTCTTTGCTCAAGGACCAGCCTCTCGTGCCATTCTCTCTCTTTCTCGGGGCTGCGCATGTCTTCCATGATGTCCACAGCAATGTCCATGAAGCACTTCTGGTGCTTCAGAAGCTCTGTGAAAACCGATTCCGCTTCCTCAACAACTTCGGGGGGCGACGTAGCCAGTGGTATCTCAACCAGTGTCTGCAAGAAGTTACAGAAATCCAGCAATGCCTCATCGCCCCATCTCTGGCAAAACTCCACCAAGTCGCACGGAGTGGTCGGCGATTCTGCGCACATTGCCCAACCCAGGCTGAACACTGAAGCCACTGACCAAAGAGTCATCATGCTAATCGCATATGGGACATCCACCTGGGACAAGCTATGGATAAACCTGGCATCATGCAATGGAACAACCAGTCATCAATTGCATCAGATTCTGACAAGCTAGAGGAACCGATCAGCCAGTCAGATGATGAGGCCAAGACCAGAACAAACACACAAGCAACATTCAACATGATAAGATATAGCACATCATGTGAGGCTTCTGTTACGAATTTCCAAAATCTCAAACGCTTCCATGCATCATCTCTTTACTCACTTGATTGAGATGAGATGATCACTGTGGACTGCAACTCCAAAGAAATCCGGAATTGATTAGTCACTTACAAAATAGTTGATCAAACCAGAAAAAAAGTGATAGATAACTGGAGAACTGGCCTCCCTGAGCAATATGCAACAATCAGCTAGAGAAACCATGCAGTGATAAGCAAGTTCTCTCTCTCTCTCTCTCTCTCTCTCTCTCTCTCTCTCTCTCTCTCTCTCTCTCTCTCTCTCTCTCTCTCTCCCCCCCCCTCCCTCCTTGAGCAGTGCTGAAAGTGGACCCTTTCTGGTCTCACCATGAGGCAAAAATATCACGAATGGATTTCTGAATGAGGGTTTTGCGCCAACTCGGAGCAGCTACTTGCCTAGGCCCATCAAAAGAAAAGCCTAAAACTACCAGCCAAAAAGATCCGAGCATGATGCTGGGGGGGCAATTAGGGACTGTATATATACCCACAGGCCCCGAGTTCAAAACTCATTTGCGTCAGAACAGTTCCTTACTTTGTTTGGTCCCTGGTCCAAATCAAGGGAAGAACAAAAATAACAGAAACTTGAAATACAGCAGATAATTGGGCAGGGTGCGGGTTTAGATCCCCCAAAAATCCCCGACAGTCATTTTCCCCCTCAGTTGAAAGTCCTCTCCGAACAGTACAAGGTCGACCTGAAAAGGGGTTCTGGATTTGCAGAGAATACAAAAAAAAGAAAAAAAAAAGAAAAAGAAAAAAGAAAAGAAAGTGTACACTGGAGTCTCTGCAAAACATGAAATCTGGAAATTGCAGGCTCAAGAATCAACTGCTGCGTTTACTCTCCCGAAGTTGCCTCTTGTGCTGGGGCAACTATCTGAGGTGCCATCTGCATTCCTCCTCCTCCTCATCAGGGTAAGTACTTGGATTTGACCCTGTAGATGATGCTATGTCTTCCTCTTCGCTGTCACACCAGCCTTTGCTCCACGATTCGATCAATGTCCGCATATCCATCCATGGTCGGAGGATGTATCTTCCTCCTGCCTATGAGTTTTGAGGCTGTAGAAGGCATCAATTTGGAGGCATGAAACAGAGGATATGTCTTCGGATGTGGAGGTACGTCCACGAGGTAGTAAGAAGGCCCAGCTGGATCATCACCAACAACATGCAATATCTCCCTCGCAAGGTTCGTACCACTTAGGTAGGTAGCAGTATTCTGCAGAGTCTGACATGTTACGGACTCGGCCAGGGCTCGATCCCTGGTCCGCGGGTTACCACCCGCCAGGCTTTTTTTTTATTTTTGAATCGCTGATCTC